TACTCTCAGGATAAGAAAAAGAAGTGGGAGTCAACACAATTCAAATTGAACATTTTACATTGGGAGGACTGGGGAAGTGGTTTTTTTGTTTTTTGTTTTTTTAAATCACAAACAACTATCTCTCTGTTTAATGACTTTTCGTACATTTAAAAAATAAGCTGAATCTACTAAAAATGGTATTTGAATTAAAACAAGAAGAGCAGGAAGAATGTGCATGTGTGCTGCAGCGACTTCACCGTATATATCTATATATAATGATGCTCTGATACTATTCAGTTAGAGTATTCTAGTGGGGGAAAGCTTTTGGATAAAGCACTTTAAAAATGGCTTAAAAATATTTAAAGTATAAGCATCTAACAAATCATAATGACAAAGTTTTACATTTAACCACACGTGCTCCAAATATCTTAAAATTATTCTAAATATGGGTTTAAAATATCAAAAGGGCTTGTTGATGGGATGCAGGACTTTGCAGAGAAACTTAAACCTGATCATTCTTGCTCCCACAACACCCAATCTGCACAATTTTAAAAGTGTGCACGAATAGATTTTTTTTTTAGAAAAAGATCATGTTACAGTCTGAATTTCCAAAACAAGAGTTGAAGAATGAAATATAGGGTTTCCTCTTCTCTCACCAAATGCAGCTTAGCCACTTTGCTTCTAGATAATTTGTTATTGTAGGTTGGCTCAAATTTAAGACAGTAACATTTTAGAAACACTTGGAGAACTAAGCCAGCTGCAAGTAGGATATCATTACAAATTGAGACACATGTTGTATGGGAATACCATTCATTTTCAATACCAAAAACATGTCTGGGGAAGTAAGCCATGCAAATGAGGGAGAGATATACTTTTTAATTGCAGTTTTTGGATGTTAGGTCAATGTTTCATATCAAATGAGTCCATGAAATGTGTTTCTCCCTTCTGTTCTTTAAATGCTCTCAGTAACATTCTTACTTCCCTTTTTACCCAAAACAAAACACAGCTTGCTAGCAAAGAAAGACAACGAACCCGAGGTTCAAAGGGGGAAATGATGAGACAACCAGTGGTGCAGCCAAACTTCCGTATGGAGAGCGGCTGGGGAGTACGGGGCAGCTTTGATTAGTTGCTGATCTGCTCCCACGGCTGCGTGGAAAGGCAGCTCTGCCCTGTGTTCCCTTCTCCCTATTCTGAGTTGTGCACTTGGGTAACATGGTGCAATTGTATGAGCATGCTGTTGCTTATTGTCCATAGCTTGGTCCTAGGAGCACAGTTAAGAGATCTCAGGGGCAACTTGACTGGTTTCCAATCTAAGAATGTTTAGTACACTCAGGAGCTATTTTAAAGCACGAGAGACTATCTTCAAGTTATTATTGCTCCTTGCTTTTGCTCCATTTGCACTAGAATCTTTTAAATGACTCTTGAAATAATGTGTGTTTGTGTGTGCACATGTTTCCTCTTTGTTGATGGCCTCCCACTCTCAATCCTGACCCCACCCTATTTTTTCCTCAGGCAGAATGCTGTGGAAATTCACAAATCTGGATAACTCTACAGGGTTAGTTTTTAGAGCTGGCATCTGAGATGGCATTTACTCCTTTTCCTTGAGAATGGGACCCTGTTAAATGATGCCAGTGCTACACACTGTTTATCTTTTAAAGCTAATTTATTTGTTTCTTGGAAATGGACTCCTTTGATGCTTTTGAAGCATTAAAAAAAGTTTACAAATGCATAATGCATTGCCTTAACATGCATCCACACAATAAGTGTCATGCATTTAAAATAGCAACTGAAGAATACAAAATAATCTGCCCAGGACAGGGTGAAGGAAAATAGAATGGCCGGCCTCTGTCCCTTTGGCACAATCTCTTTGACAAGAGAATCTGGCAAAGGCAGTGATGGGGTGGAGGTAAGTGTTCCATGACATGAGGTAAGTGTTCCATGCTGTAGTATATTTTGGTCTTCAAACACCTCTGCCCCTCCACAATGCTTGTCTGCACGAAGAGAGGTGTAAGTGATTGAGCTATGATGCCCAAGCAGCCGCTCAGGCTGGCGAGGAAGTGATTCACTGGAAACCAGACAGGGAGATTATTTCCAATGCCCTTCTGGGCAATGGCTTGTTAATGCTGGTCAAATGCCTCCCTCATTCCACGAACACTCTCTCCAGGTGAAGCAGCATGCTAGACACAGCCACATCAATGCCCCGATGTTTACTGAGCTGTCCACTTCTCGGACTCCAGCCATTCCATGCCCTTGGCCCCAACAGCAGTGGAAGGTTTTCCACTCAAGGACAATGTCTCCCTATACAGTGTGAACTTTGAAAATCCAAGTGCTGGGGAAGTACCTGGCTTGTTTTTGTTCCTGCTTCTCTTTCTTCTTTCTCCATAGGTACTCACAGGATGTGGTACCTTGAAGAAAGGTCTACAACCTTTTGTGTAGTGTCCCTAAGCCAATCTTATGGAGGCTAGTGCTCCATTATGTAGCTGCATCAATGATTGGGCAATATTAGGTCCACAGCAAAAAGTGCTAAAAATAAATTCTAAGTTTAAGGGAAACTTACAATTAATTCGGCTTCCTCAGAGTAACAAGAAAAACTCCAACTCCGATATTGCTGGATGATAATATAATTCTTCAGAGATGTAAGGCACATTTCTTCTGAAGTCAAAATCGATGGACCTCTCAAGAAAATACCTCTGTGCATAGGCCCATAAAAACTTTCCACATAATTCCAGAAGGAATTGCTAAAGGCCAGCCATGGACTAGTCCATGGAGCCAGGAGACCAGCTTGAGGGAGCAGCCACAGGGGCCGGAGGTCTGGAGGTCAGGAGGTCACGGCCGGGACCAGTACTGCACCTGCACGCCCCTGAGCGTGAGTTCCTTTTTAAAGTTTGTACACTAACTAAACACTCCTCTGGCCTCACTCTCATCCCAGCCTTGCTGACGGTGGAAGGTTATGGCTACATATGAAAGAAATAAATACGTGGTTACATGTCATTTTTCTACTCCATTATAACCTATTGGAGTAATATCTAAAAGTCAGATGCTTACACATTAAAACCCTCCTTCAAGCCCTTGTCATAGGGTTAAAATAGACGCAGCAGCTTTGAACGAGGTGTGTCTAAGGCTGATCTTGACACTGTTTCATCCAGAAAACTCTCCTCTACCAGTCTGAAATGATCACAGCAAGCACTCTCCCAGGTCTTCACCACTCACCTGTGCACATGATGCAGACCTGGCAGTTTCTTGCTGGCTCTTTGGATGACTGATACCTAGACTGGACAGCCATCTGCATCCTGACAGACAGCCGAAACTTTAACATCAGGATTACGTCAGAAATTAATGTTTCCAATAACCAAGTACTGGAACATTGAAAATCTCAAGTCTGGCACATGATCCACACATCTCACTCATTTGTATCGATTTCTTCTTCTCTCTCAGTTTGTCTTCTTTTCCTTGCTTTAGAAGGAGGCACCCCTAGTAATATTTCAAATGTTTGGACTTGACTTCCCAGATAGCCTAGTACTCTCTCAAGCTTCTCAGCCAAAGAAACTAAACTGGCAAAATTTACCTGTCACCTCCACCCTTTTGGCTTTCCTAATGAGGCGAGCCCTTCCATTCCCCCACACCCTACTCCCCACCCCACCTTGAAATAGTCCTTTCTGGGGTTGTGGCTCCATGACCAGACTAATCATTAAACTCTAAACTCCAAGAAGCCAAAACTACAGCTGCCTCCTCCAGGTCTGCTGGAGAAAACTACAAGTGGAAGGAACCCCTGCTGCTGAGGCTGGGGAAGCATCTCAGAACCGAGGCCAGGGAAAAACATCTCATATTTTCTTTCTGGTTTTAGAAGCACATAAGAAATGTGGGAGACACAAAGGTGGGAAGTCGTGTGGACTTGATGCTCCTTGGGAACGGAAAAAGGGAGGGTGAAGGGTTACTCATGATCTACATTTTTTCCATTGATTATTTTACTTAAAGAGAATATGTCATTTCCCCGTAAAATCGAGGAAGGGGTGATAATTTTCTTTTGAATATCTTCAAACGTTTGCAGATGGTTACTCTGAACTCCCCAATGTACCATAAACAAGTGTAAACTGCAGAAATTCGGAAAATGTACAAATACAAACAGTTATTCTCCAAGCTCCAGGGCAAAGGCAGAGAGGGGAGTATTCCATTTATAAATAGAATACTTTGTGGATAGAATAGTTTGAGAAATGTTTATGCATTGTTTTCCTTATTATTTGGGAGGTTATTTTTTTCCAGCTTACAGAAGCTGCAGAACTGGCATTCGGAGTCTTAAAAGTTGAAGATTAAAGGACATTTACAGCCTTTAAAATATTTTTTTTACTAAACAATTAGTTCTGCATCCAGGAAAATAACTTCCCATTAAAATAATTTATAATCACATCAACAAACAAGAATGCACAAAGTCAGGTAACCAGGAATAAAATTTCAAAATCAAAAAAAAAAAATACTATAATTTGCTAAGAAGCAGCAAATATAATTACTTCTCTGAAGACAACTGCAGTTATCTGGATTACTGATTTCAAGATAGTCTGCTTTGAATCTATTTAAAGTTATTTTTTAAATAGTAATACATTATGAGAATGGTGGCATAGTGAAAAGAACAAAGAACCCTGACTGAAGTTACAGACTTTCCTAAGAAAAATATGAGCCACCTACAGCAGGGGTCCCCAAACCCCAGGCTGTGGACTGGTACCGGTCTGTGGCCTGTTAGGAATCAGGCCACGCAGCAGGAGGTGAGTGGCAGGTGAGCAAGAGACCCTTTATCTGTATTTGCAGCCGCTCCCCAGCATTAGCATCACCACCTCAGTTCCACTTCAGATCATTAGGCATTAGATTCTCATAGGAGCACTGGTCCCTGGTGCCAAAAAGGTTGGGGACCGCTGACCTACAGCATATGGAGAAATTACTCACCTGCACCTCACCCACCAAATTCAGCCCAGATTTCTTTTTGGTTTTTCATACTTTCCGCTTTGGCTTTAACTTGTCACCAAACAGTGTTCACTGTCAGGGCACAAAAGCCATGTAGTCCTTTATTTAACAGATGTATTTCCAATTTCCGCGACCATACAAACAGGCTCGGTTTCTGAAGGCATGGAAGAAAAACAGCGCCATGTGTTCACAGAAAATCAGGAGGGGTCAGAGAATGTGAGTGAATTATGGCAGGTTGAGACTGTGCTTTGAGGTGACATATAACTACAGAGGGCAAGAGGAAATGTGATTTAATGGCGGATAGGCGGTTCTTCCATCTTAAATCATTTGCCTTGTCACCCCACTGTAGCTGGCAAAGCCCGAGTGTCTCTCACTTTAGAGAGAAGCTGTAATTTGTTGGGAGACCACTCATAAAAAGAACTTGCTAATCTCAAGGGGCTATGGGCAATTTCATCATTGCATCTTCTGGAAATGGCTAAAGCCAGGTTAATATTTTTAGTAACAACTCTGGTCCACACTTAAGATCCTTGCCTGATTCTTTATTCAGAAACATATGTCATCCAAATAGCCCTCATATATTTCATGCTTTTATGTTCTTTTGGCCCCATGCTACTTCAGGACCAGCAGCACTATTCTTGACCTGGTCACTTCTCACTCCAGTAATGGCAGTAAAATCTTTCACCTTTCCCGTCTTCCTTTTTTGTCATTTGAATGAGTGATACTAGAATGTGTTTAAAATTACAATTCCCAGTGCTTTCGGGCTTTCTAAAGGCCGTCACTTTTTTTGTCCCACATCTTCCCATGACTCACGGCTTTGTCAACCAGATGAAATTACTCTGGTGGAGAAAGCAGGGGCATTTTCAATTGAGGTGACGATGAGAAGGCTGAGGCCATCTGTCTTAAAAAGCAGAACTTGTAGATGTAAAATCAAGAAGGAATGGTGAACTGATTTTTAGTGTTCTGCTCCTACGAGCAAAGCCATCAATGGAAAAGAAAACCTCAAACTATGAGGGCTGAGAATCCCATCTTGTACCACCCAACAAGCCCCCTTGCTCTGGCTCTGTGCTTCCCAAGCAAACTCTGGCTATAAGTGAGGTATGTGCCCATGTAAATATGGTGGACTTAGAGACAACGTTTTGGACACGCCACATCAAGTGTTCTGGTCCACACCTATATTTCTCACTGTGGAGTAATGGGTTGGAATTCTAGATCTGTTGTTGCTGCTGAAAAAAAAATAAAATAAAAGAATTGAACACTGTCAAAAAAACAAAAACAAAAACACTGGACACTGTCTAAACACTTAGAGAAGTTGGTAGGTAAGCTTGGTTTTTCTCTAGGAACTTTCCCCAAGGCTACTGAGGTGTAAAAGAATTTTATCAAGTAGGCTCATAAAGGGACAAATTAGCCAATTCTCTTATAATAAAGTATAGCTCTGGAATCAGGCAGCCTGGACGTAAATCTCGACTATGCTTATTAACTTGGTGATCTTGAGCAAGTTACTTAATGTCTCAGTTTCCTCACCAGTAAAATAAAGACCTTAATAATTGTCATATGGCCCTGGATACAAATAAATACCACTGAGAAACACTTAGAAGAGGTCCTGTATACATAGATGTGAGCGATTATTCTTCCCAGGAGGTCCACTTTTCCTATCCAGGCTTCCTTCTTCCCTGGTTTCCATCCCGCCAACTGTAAATGCCTTAAGCACAGGCACTGCATCATATTCCCCTTTGTATTTCCCCAGCTCCTAGAAGGAGCTGTGTACAAGTGAGGTGCTCAATAAATGTTCTTTTCTCTTCCTTTCTTCTACATTAACAGTTGACAGACCTAAAGTGAAAGTTAGCTCGTTTGCTGCTCTCAGGGGTAGAGGGTAGAGTTCAGGCTCTGGGTTCAGCAAGCCTGAGCTGAATACTGGTTTCCCAACTCACCAACTTGGGCCACATCTCCAAGTGTCATCTTCCTCCTTGGTAAGATGCAGATGATACCTATTCCTCCAGGATTGGCAGGAGGATCAAATGAGGCCATATCTGGGTATAGCGAGTATGTCACACATGCTAGTTCCCTTCCTCTTACTGAAAATCATTATTATTGGCTCACTTGGCATTAAACAGGATTCCCCCACTGAGGTCAGAAATGTGCATCTCACCTCCTTCAGCAATGTGGCCCTTTCCCCTGCCAAAGCTCCCACTGTCAGCTGAGGTGAGCAGCCCACCAGATGAGCAGCTGAGCTCAAAAACTGGGAAGAAGCAAAGCTGGTCTGTGAATGCTTGAAGCCTGCCCTGGGGAATGCTGGTTGGTGACAAATGAAGAGATCCGGTGAAGAGGAGTTATGAGCTATGGCTACGACGCCCTGCCAGGCAAAAGAAGTTTAGTGGCTTGGGTGCAGTTGGCATAAGCATGCAAAATGGTAAGTTTTTATTCTCATCTTGCAAATGGAATCCTGTGGTTATTAAGAAAATTTGGCGAGTTAAGACATTCTGCCAATGAGTACACTAGCTCCAGGAAGTCGCCGGAAGTTGCCCAGCTCACCTTTTACCACGGCCCTGTAACCTCATGACTGAGCATCTACTCGCCCCAAGTAATCACTCCTTCCTCCCCACCTCTTCCTCTTCAACAGGGTGAATTACAGAGATGAGCATAATAATAAAAGTGTAATTAAGGAGACAGTGTTGCAAGTTGGGTTCAAAACTGGACTTTGCCATTAAGTAAGTGGCCTTGGGCACAGCACTTACATGCTGTGACTCAGTTTCCTCAGCTGTAAAATGGGAATGATGTTGGATCAAAATGATGATAGTGTGTGACCAAAGTGTACTGTAAAACATGTAAGGTGAAATAAAATCATGATTATCAATTCAACTAACTCTCTCTCTCTCTCTCTCGTCTGCCTTGTAAGAAGTAAGGAGAGGTGCACTGGCTCATGCAGAGGAGAGCCCCCGTGGACATACAAACCTTTTACTTATTCTGATTTCTAATTCGGAGGCACCTCCTTTTGAGAGGAGGCTCCAGGTCCTCGGGCCCGGCGCTGAGCATGGGCGAGGAGATGATGCACGGTGCCATGGCAGTCTTCTCCGCGGGTTTTGGCACAGGCTGGATCACGCAGCCCGTCTTGGGCAGCATCCGCAGGGCATACGCATGGTCCTCGTCCGCGGGGTTATTAAGGTTCGGGTCCGACTTGTCGCCCCCCGCCAGGGCCTCCTCCCCCATCAGCTTTTTCGCCGCCTCCCCGTCCAGGTGGCAGTTGGAAGCACAGTTGTTCTCCTTGACGGATTCCAGCTCACTCACCACGGGCTCCTCGGGCGACAGCAGCTTCTTGGGGGCCGCGGGCT